GCCTGCTCACAACCCCGCCCAGCCTTGCGAACTGGGTATGGTGGATTAAAGGGGAAGTATACCCTAAAATCAAATTTTCACCAGTTGTAGTCTTCTGGGTGCTGAGTCGAATGGTCTTGGTCCGAGGAAGCTGCGGCGCTCCCTTCCTACTTGAATCCCAATCGAACTCGCGCACTTCCACCGAAACTGGGTGACTGCGCCCTACTAGATGGGGATTTGTATGCAAAATGTCACTAAAAGCGCCATTTCGTTCTTATAAAAGCACGGATGACCGCGATTGGCCCATATGTTGTAGTCTTTTGGACGCTGAGTCGACTGGTTTTGGTCCGAAAAGGCTGCGATGCAGCGTTCCTCCTTTATTCCCAATCGAACATGGTTGAAGAAGCGGTCACGTGCTCCTGCGTACACCAGTCAGCTGGTCACCGTGCCTGCAGGGTACAACTTACTAGCCTGTTTGACCTTTTTTGGGTGCAGTCCTGTCACTCGAGTTGAACTCGAGTTGAACCTTGGTGTGAAAGTTGTCGCCTGCTGGCGCGGTGACCAGGTGATTTGGGCACCCAGGAGCACGTGACCGCTTGTTCAACCATGTTCGATTGGGAATAAAGGAGGAACGCTGCATCGCAGCCTTTTCGGACCAAAACCAGTCGACTCAGCGTCCAAAAGACTACAACATGTGGGCCAATCGCGGTCATCCGTGCTTTTATAAGAACGAAATGGCGCTTTTAGTGACATTTTGCATACAAATCCCCATCTAGTAGGGCGCAGTCACCCAGTTTCGGTGGAAGTGCGCGAGTTCGATTGGGATTCAAGTAGGAAGGGAGCGTCGCAGCTTCCTCGGACCAAGACCATTCGACTCAGCACCCAGAAGACTACAACTGGTGAAAATTTGATTTTAGGGTATACTTCCCCTTTAAGAACCCGGTTCAACGCTCGAGCAAGCGCTCTCCACTCAAGGTGTTCACAGCAACTGATAGGAACTCATATGGGGAAATTATAGAAAAGAAATAATAAGATAAAGAGAATAAATTTCAACGCACCTCAATAAACGGAGCCCCACATACAGTACCTCAGAAAAGTGGATCTTCCGACCAGTGTTTTTGTTGACGCCGCAACCAGATGATGTAGCTGCTTCGCAGAGACGTCTTACTGCACAAATTACAAATAAATTTTATTCTTCGATTAGAAAATCCAAGCGCTTTCAGAGCCCTCCGAAGAGAGTCCGGGATGAAACCACGCACACCTACCTCAACCGAAAAAGAAACGACCTGCCACCCGTTTGCTCGGCATTGATCGGCCAGATCCGCATACCGCCTGTCCTTCCGCGAGTTACTGACACTGAATCTGTCCTCAGCACAAACTGTCAACTCCATCCAGAATACAATCCTACGACTCGTAGAGTACAGAACTATATCTGGTCTGAGGGTGGTAAGTGCAACACAGCTAGGGAAAGAAATCTTTGCACTAACTGAGTCGACAAGAAGTTTCCAGTCTGAGGCCGCTGACAGGAGATCAGTCGTAACCAACTTTCGTCTGGGCTGAACGCGAACTGGCTTCTCTCCCGCCTTGCAAAACGAGATGAAGTCAAGCTCATTTGAATTTCCGGTTTGTACGGTGTTTGCAGCAGTGCGGATTCGAATCTCCTCACGCATGTTCCTGACGATGACCCCGAGTACGTTGTCGTGCCTCCAGGTGTAACGTCCCTGGTCCAGCGCTACGCGACAAGCGCCAAGCACGTGGCGCGTAGTACAGGCCCAGGTACGGCACAAACTACAGTATGGATCCACTACGGTGTTTCCCCAACGGCGTAGGTTCGTTGGAGAAGGTAGCACGTCGAGGGTTGATGCGAGAAGAAATTTCAAATCCTTACCAGTACCACCGTACAAAAGGGATTTCCACGAGAGGTCCTGCCACATCACCGATGTCCACTCCAACCACTTGCCTTGCACCTGAAGAGTCTTCAGCCTCAAAATCTGCTCCTGCGCGTTGATCTCCTCAAATGTTTGAAGGAGATCCTTCCTCGGGGGTTTGGAATGCTGCTTCGGAGCACGAGCACCCAACCCTGCACGATGACTTGAAGATGACGGTGGACGGAGAGTCCCTGAACCTACTGATGCCTCTGCACACTCCAGCTCTATTGTCGCCGCATATCGCTTTGTCAGCTTCGCATCCTTACTCCGACGCAGAGTGTACAGCGCCCTCATGCGCGCGTCCCCACTCGATCGAAGAATGTGCCATTTGATGGACTGGCACTTTTTCCACACCGTAGGAAGGTAGTGGAGGCGTAAGCCAAAGCGTTTGCGACTGCCAATAAAAAGAATGGCAGAGTTTGCGCATCGAGGTAGGCCTGACCATTTCTTCAGAAATGGTAAACACATAAAGTGCAGTTCACGTACAAAACCTTGTGTGAGTTCAAGAACCTGGAAAGACCAAGAAAGCTTGGGCACTACAAGATGGTGGTAAAGCCATAGCTTGTGGTGGTCTTGAAGCCAAGAGCCATCTACTTTTTGCATGAGAGATACAGTGAGTTGACGGATGTCTTCCCGCTGGGTCTGCTCAGAGCAATCAGCATGCAGCCTTCGCCCCAGGAACTTGAACTCTGCAGTGTCAATGAAAGCGATCTTCCTCCCTGACATTGTCAGGCAGGGATCGTAAGGTTTGTACCGGCCATCTACAAGCTTTGCTGCACTGCTTTTGCATTTGTGCGGCGCCGCCTGCATACATTGGGTCCACGAGAGAAAGTCCTCCGTGACCGCAATGAGTTTTTGACAACCTGCACTAGATTTGCTATAGAGGCCTAAGTCATCAGCAAAAGCTGTTTGGGACACTTGCAAAGGGGCAGATTTAAAATCATAGGAGAGGCAACTTAATTCAGGGGCTGCAAGTGAGTCCAGCAGAAGCTGGAAACAAATATTGAAAAGGACCGGGGACAAGGGGCACCCCTGGAAAACACCAATGTTGTAATTAAAGGAGAGAGAGAGAGAGAGAGAGAGAGAGAGAGAGAGAGATAAGGAAGAATATAAGAAGAACAATAGGGCTACAGCTTACTAACTCTTGCCAATACTGTAGTCGGATGAGGTCAAAGGTCACTCAGTAGTAGTATCCTGAGTGAGGTAACCAGGGAGTAGTCTTTCTACTCTCGACGCGGCGTACCGTGTTCTCCAAGGGCGTTACCTCCAGGGAATAGTACTACATTGTATTACTACTCCCAGGCTGGAGGTTACGACCTTGGAGAACACGATACGCGTCGAAAGTGGAAAGATGCTCTTGTCATCATGTCGGATCTTTTTTGTTCGGGTTTGGAATCTTTCGATTACAATAACTGATCTAGATTTGAGCCATTATGATATGGTCGCAAGACTGGGACTCTACCAAGCAGAGAGACGACTCTCTGCTTCCATGTACTGAGAACAGGGTATTTGACGACTCCCTGATGTAGATCTACCAGCCGGTTTCCGGTTGCATAGCATTGAGGAACACTTCACCGTCGTCCGTCGCCCACGCCTTTTTGTGCTCTTTGGGTGGGTTTCCCTCCCTGAGCGGCACAACGAGGTACGGGACGGGACGGCTGGTTTCCTCAAACGAGTCGCCAACAACATCACCATTGAACCGCACCTGCAGCCGGTAACTGGGGAAGCATTCCGCTACTGCTCTGCCTTAGCGAACCTCCAGGCAAGGCTGGATATAGCAGCGAGTGGTGTCTGCGGTGGGCGTTTTGACCACTTTCTTCGACGTACGGGTATTTAACACTTTCGCAGCTTCAAATCATTCCACATCAGTACCCTCCTGCCGCCAACGTCACGAATGGGAGAAACTCTGCTGCTATGAGGAGCGTGTTCGAGAGATCGAAGATGCGGCCTTTTCACTTCTCGTTCTCTCCTCAACAGGCGGTATGGACAAGTCTGCTGCGACAGCCTGCTTTAAGCGGATAGCCAGGCTCCTGTCCGACAAGACGAAGTAGCCGCACAACAGCGTGCTAGCGTGGATTCGCTGCCGACTTGGCTTTGCTCTGGTTGGCTCCAGGCAGCATGGCTTGTAAGTTGTTTGTGTGGTGCTCGGCGACGCCCCATCATGTACGTCCGAGTCAGTGAGGTGGCAGATGCCTCTGCTACCTTGGCCGTTGCCGAGGCCCGCTGCTCTCCAAAACTGACTCCAAGTGGTGCCTAAACCAGTTCCTATTCATCATTTTTGCTTCTTTTTCCCTCTAGTTTTCTTTTGTATTATTGTTTCACGGAGAAGGCGGAGAGCCCGAACGCGCCGGTAAAAGAAGAAAAAGAAACACTGTTTACATCGCAGTGTGGCCTCCGCGTCGTGTCCGCGATCCACCTCACCAAGAGTCCATAATCCCCTGGGGATTTGACATTCTCTTTCTTTACGGAGTTGTTGTTGCTGTTGATTTTCCTACTCTTTCGTTTTCCCTACCCTTACCGTTTTATTTATCGCCGTGGTTGGCAATCACCCACATTGGCCGGTGTTTCCACCGACTGTGCGTTAGGGGTGTGCGGATAATGCTCGAAAAGGTGGCAGATTCTGCTCGAAAAGCAGTGAAATTGGCAGAACCATACAAACCTTATGGCGGGCAATTCCTCGAGTTCTGCTCCATTTCTTCATCCACATACCAAACATGCATGAAACTTACCAGAAAAAGTACCGAATTCTGCCATTTTTTCAGCCGGCATTATCCGCATATGCCTACTGTGCGTGACAGAGTCTTGAGATGTTGTAATGATATAATTATAAATATTATTAGAGACAGCGGGTACAATGAGACTGTCCAGTTCTTGGAGGACCGGAAGAGTGGGAAAAAGAAGAAACAAAGGAGTCGACACCGGAATATTACCTGGTTTAACCCACCGTTCAGTAAGAATGTGTCCACGAACATTGGTCAGCGATTCCTGCAACTCGTCAGCAAGCACTTCCACAAAGGTTGCAAATTATACAAGATATTTAACCGGAACACGCTAAAGTTCAGTTACAGTTGCATGCCAAATGTCGCCACCATCATCAAGCAACACAACAATAGTATCCTCCGCAACGACCACCAGAACAAGACCAAGGATGTGAGAACCTGTAACTGCCGTGTCAAAAATGATTGCCCCTTGGAAGGCAACTGTCTAACATCGAGCATTGTGTACAGGGCACATGTAACCGGCAGCGACATGAAGGAGTACACTGGATTAACTGAAGGGACATTCAAGACACGATTCAATGGTCATCAACGTACATGTACCATTCGCCACCAGAAGCATGAGACCGCAACGAGACTGTCCAGACACATCTGGAGACTGAAGGATGAAAACAAACCTTACAGTATCAGATGGTCCGTTGTGAGGAGAGCCGCACCGTACTCTAACATCTCGAAGCGCTGCAACCTGTGTCTGGCCGAGAAGCTAGAGATTGCCTGGGCCGACAAGAGGTCAGAGCTTGTGTCCAAGTGCCGTCATGAAAACAAGTTCTACCTCCGTAACTTTGTCCGCAAGGTCGCGTGAATCTAGCTGGTAGTCCCGCTGCCTTGTGCAAGTTGTGCGTGTGTGTGTGCGTGTGTATGTGTGTGTGTGTGAGTGAGTGTGCGCGTGCGTAGGTGTGTGCGTGTTTGTGTGCATGCGTGAGAAAGAGAGTGCGGGGTGCAGGTATGTGTGTGGTAGGTGCGAGAATGGACGGATGAGTATTGTGGGCGTACGCGTGTGTTTGTGTGTGGGTGTGTGTGGGTGTGAGAGAGAGAGAATGTGTGTGTGAGATTTAGAGAATGTGTGTGTGTGTGTGTGTGTGTGTGTGTGTGTGTGTGTGTGTGTGTGTGTGTGTGTGTGTGTGTGTGTGTGTGTGTGTGTGGTGTGTGTGTGTGTGTGTGTGTGTGTGTGATTTAGAGAATGCATGTGTGCGCGTGTGTGTGCGTGTGTATGTGAGAGAGATTTAGAGAAGGAACATGTGTGGGTGTGTGAAAGAGAGAGAGATTCAGAGAAGGAATATGTGTGTGTGCGTGGGAGAGAGATATTTAGAGAATGTGTGTGTGTGCGCGTGTGGGCGTGTGTGCGCGTGTGAGTGTATGTGAGAAAAGGGAGAGAGTGTGGGTGTATGTGTGTGTAATGGTGTGGGCATGTGTGGATTTGGCATAAAAGTCCCCAGCTCTATTCTATAATTCGCGCTGCTGCTGCATAGCCCCAAGTCTGAAGACTTGGCAACTTCACGCCTGCACCTGACTCTTGCACTATGATACGCGTCGCCTATGATACCCCTCAGAATTTCCCACCTTGCTCCCCCTTATGTTCTGGCTGCCCGTTTCGGATCCATCAGTTACCTGATGATCGTATAGTAGTAATACGTGAAACTCAGAGTTGTAACAAAGCTTCCAATCTCTCTCTTGTGTAAATATTATTATTATTATTATTCTGACTGGTTTGAGGGAAAGAGACAAACAGGAAAAGTCTGAAGAAAAAATATTATTATTATTATTATTATGGACTCTTGGCCTCACGTTCATCACACATACACCCGCTTGTGAAATGCAGTCAGCAACTTCATACCGTATATTCTCTATTACAAGCACAGGTCTCCATTACTAGCACAGTCTCTAATACTAGCACACTGTGAGCACCTTTCGAAACATTATAAGCACAGTCTCTATTACTAGCACGGTCTTTGTGAAAATCAATGCTGCATGCATAATATCTAGCATGTATTTCTTCTTGCTCTGTATGGATGTATTGGTTGAAAAAATATAAGCACGGTCTCCAATATAAGCGCGGTCTCCAATATAAGCACGGGGTAGAGGGGTGTTGAAAAAATATAAGCACGGCGCTTATAATAGAGAATATACGGTAGTACTGTACCATCAAGACTGGTCCATCCCCAGACTAGTACTGTAGTCCCCCGTGGCTAGGGGTGTGCGGATAATGCTCGAAAAGGTGGCAGATTCTGCTCGAAAAGCAGTAAAATTGGCAGAACCATACAAACCTTATCGCGGGCAATTGCTCCATTTCTTTATCCACATAATTATACCATGACCGGTACCAAACATGAACTAGTTACTTTATCAATAGTACCAGAAAAAGCACCGAATTCTGCCAGCTTTTTCATGCATACGGTACGCGAATTATACGGGTCATGTAGACTTGCATGACGTGATGTCATGACATGCATATTACCACCCGCGCGCCCGCGCCATGGCCTTTTGCACTTGAGTTGCAGTTCAAAATAATTCAGGACCTGTACATGTGATGTGGTCCATGATGTGGAAGACAGCCACGGATCGGACGTGGACGGTCATTCCTTGTGCCTTTGTGGCTTGACTTGCCGGCTGAGTTGGACGTGACAGTTTTGTGGACGGATATTGACCTGCCAATAAAAACTGAAGGATTTCCCGTACAACTGCTTGCCCATCTTGGCCGAATTCTCAAGCAGCCTCGCTATGGCCTGCGGACTTCTTCCAGTGTTGGCTGTCGCTGTACTTTCCCTTGGCACGTTCTGTGGTAAGTTCTGCATTTTTAGAGGACTTGTTATCTCGCATCAGTGCTCAGCAGGGGCGAGAGAGGGTATACACAGGGGCGTCGGAAGGTAATTTAGTGTGGTACGGTCAGCCATCTGAAGTACAATTTACTCGTGGGGGAGGGGTGGCTGAGCCGAAGATTTTGGAAATTTAGAGCCCAAATCAGTGCATTAATTTTTATTGTACTTGGGGCAAATAGTGGTACGGTCAATACCGTAGTGACCGTACTGTGTGCGACGCCCCTGATACAGATGCACGAAATCCCGTAGAATCTCGTAGAATCCCGTAAACCCGTTTGGGTGTTGAATGTGCAGGACCGGCCGGCGCCCTATTGTGTTTACTTACTTTAAGGGGCCGGTCACACTGAGGGAAAATTTGATAAAAAAACCCGTGGTTACCATGGATATTTGCCGCTGAGCGGGAGATGTGAGAGATTTAATCCGCGCGATGAAAATCAGCTCGAGGCCCCGCTTTTCCGCCGAAGATTATAATCGTCCGCGGCTTCCACTGGATTTCTTTGAATTTCCTTGCGTTTTATTGCGTTATGGAGTGGAGCGATACTCTAGAAGCTGTGCTGATGCAGCTCTGGCCCAGGAGCGGGGCTGACAGACTGCCAGAAGCGAAGGGTGCCAAAAAAAGCTCGTGTGGGTGAGATTTTTTTCATCGTGCGTATCCAGTGTGGCCGTGATGAAAGCAGAAAAAAATATTCCCGGTTTATAATCTGAGGATTACGCTAGGGTTTACCGGGTGTTAGCGGCCGTCGTGAGTTCCCTTCAGGAACGGACACGATAATTTACTTTTTTTTATTTATATAATCTGAGGATTGTTCCCTCAATGTGACCCGCCCCTAAGCCTAGGTCACATTCGACGGAACGCTGACGGTACGGGACGTAAGGGCCTGTCGGGAAGGCTGGGGTGAGCTGTAAAATCTTGTACGATTCGTACGACACGACATGCTGCAGTCGTTGTGTCGTTCAACAGCGAACGGCGCCAGTCATAAGGCACGGTCCGTGACAGTGTGACTTTTGGACCTAATTTCTTGTTTTTCGGTACGTCTTTTCAATTATTTTTCCTTGAATGAAGCGGAATCAAGTTCACAATACCAGTTTTTCATGAACACCAAAAAAGTAGCATCGAAAGGTGTGCTATTCAAATAATAGCTCCAGGAAATGATAAAACAGTTCGTCTGTCACGCTCCTGAACTAACCATAAATACCATAAGTGACATCAGACCTTATCTTGTTAAAATTCAACTCAAGTCGTGCTAGCCATTCTGCGAGTTATCATGGGAAGCGCAGTGTTCGAAATGCTAAAAATTTCCAAGTACGAATCGGGATAGTCGGCGCACAATGCCGTCTCCTGTTCACCCTCAAAATGCAGTGTTTTGTACGCTTGCGTCCCCGTCTACGGTATAAAAAGTTGGATCGTTCCAACTCTTCCCGTCGCTTCCCGATCCGTTCGGCAGTAAAGTTGCGTTCCCGTTCCTGGTGTTCACATTGGACGCCGTCAGACTGTCCCGTCGATCCTTACGTCGCGTCCCGTCGCGCCCCGTCAAATGTGAACTAGGGTTTACTGCTATTCCAACAAAAAAATTGACCCTGAAGGCATTTCAAATGAGAAAAAATTCCGAAAGAGATCCAGCTAGGTTCAACTTCATTGTACTTTCTACTTGAAGTGTACATACCTGTTAATAGCATGGACTATTTCTGGCTAGATTTGAACTCTTGCGTAATCAATGGTGCTAGTGAAGCTTATAATAAATTATCAGACCCACTCTGGTTTTGCTACCCACACTAGTACAATGTAGCAAGTACAGTATTCACTGTTACCTTCACGGGGGCAGGGGCAAATGCAGTTGTATCCGGGGACGGTTACCCTGATGTTGTCAACCTTTTTTCTGCACCTCTATACTAAAAGTGTTATTGGTTTAAGGGAAAGGTGGGAATGAGAAAAGCCTGTTGAACAAAATTTACTGTTACCACCAGGACTTGAACCTGGGACCCCTCGCTTCTGTACTATACGTGGAATCATTTCCAAGTCCACCAAAAGTTTGGTGATTTCAGGGGATGTCGGCCGTTGAGAGGTTCAATGGCCAATTGAGTCATCTTTCCAAGATTCCTTTTGAATCTCTCTCCCCTCTCCCGGGAAGACCCACGCGACCAGTTTTGGCAGTGGGCAAAGAAGTACAATTGTGTGTGTGTGGAGGGGGGGGGGGGGGGATCCTCCTTTTCCGATGTGCTCCGTGTGGTGTAGACCAGGTGTGCGCTGGGAGTCGATTCACATGGCTTCGTCAGTGGTGTGGATTAGACAGTTATCTGGCGCTTGTTTGTTTGTGTGAGTATCTGTGTGCGTGTGTGTGGTACATGATGTGTGTGCATGCGTGGGAAATGTGCGCCGGAGGGGTTGCACATGCGGACATGTATATGGTTGTCTCTTTTTATAGATGCGGACATTCCCTGTTCCTCGTTATTCTGCCCACCAGCGGATAATCCCTCCTTGGTAGAGTGTTGCCACCGCCGCAATGAAACTTTTTTTCCAGCCCGTATAGAGTACAAGTGCTGCCTACCAAAATCAACTGAACTCTTTAAAGGATGGTTAGTTTACACTACTGTTGGTTGGAAGGTTGATCTTCATTTTCTAATTCAACAGAAGAGAAGTTCAATTCACACGAACCTTCGTGTACGTATGTTTACTCGTACACACTGCACTTGTTCGCGCCTGTGTACGCTGCTCAAAGTCGCGTACATGTGTCATGTCACACATTGGTGACGACTTGCGATGCAGACTCCGCATGCAAGTGTGCACCCGCCCGCGGCAAGATCTTTCCAGTCTGTACAAGTGACATGCCGACCCTCGCAGGGGGTTCAAAGACCCTCGCAGGGGGTTCAACGTACTAGTTACTGTCCGGGTGCCGAAGAACGGCCAGGCTAGAATTTCACCAATTTTGCAGTTATAAGAACGGAAACCGTACTGTACACTATAATGTACACTCAGACGTATAACTCTGCATAAATGGACATACAGTGAAATCCGTCTAAGACGACCGCTCAAGGGACCATCAAAACGTGGTCTCTGTTACCAGGTGGTCTTCTTATCCAGGGTCATTTGACTGGAAATAGCATCCCTTGGTCCTGGTTGCAGTGGTCTTCTGGGACAGGTGGTCGCCTTATCCGAGTGGTCGCCACGACAGGTTTTTCTGTATAAGACTATGGTGAAAAAAGAAGGACAAAATGTTACGAGTTATGACTAATTGGCTTAATGGTTTAATTGGCTCACCATCCAAGTTAAACATTTACCGTGAAGTCGCGGATAGAAGTCGGGTTTGCATGCAAGCACATCACGGATAGAAGTCGGGTTTGCATGCAAGCACATCGCGGATAGAAGTCGGGTTTGCATGCAAGCACATCGTGGATAGAAGTCGGGTTTGCATGCAAGCACATCGCGGATAGAAGTCGGGTTTGCATGCAAGCACATCGCGGATAGAAGTCGGGTTTGCATGCAAGCACATCGCGGATAGAAGTCGGGTTTGCATGCAAGCACATCGCGGATAAAAGCCGGGTTTGCATGCAAGCACATCGCGGATAGAAGTCGGGTTTGCATGCAAGCACATCGCGGATAGAAGTCGGGTTTGCATGCAAGCACATCGCGGATAGAAGTCGGGTTTGCATGCAAGCACATCGCGGATAGAAGTCGGGTTTGCATGCAAGCACATCGCGGATAAAAGTCGGGTTTGCATGCAAGCACATCGCGGATAGAAGTCGGGTTTGCATGCAAGCACATCGCGGATAGAAGTCGGGTTTGCATGCAAGCACATCGTGGATAGAAGTCGGGTTTGCATGCAAGCACATCGTGGATAGAAGTCGGGTTTGCATGCAAGCACATCGCGGATAGAAGTCGGGTTTGCATGCAAGCACATCGTGGATAGAAGTCGGGTTTGCATTAGGGGTGAAACGGTTCGGGTAAGGAACCGGTTTTGGAACCGCCAGCTGAAAAGAATCGGGTACCCGTTCCATCAAATTTCGAACCGAAACTCGAAAAATCTCGTTCTTGTACAAATACATGTACACGTCAAGTCTACTCAAGATTTTTTTAAATGATCCCCACTCTTCCAAAGAGTTCTCTGGTCATTATCTTCTTCGCACTTGGACTCTCCGATGTCTCATTCTTGCTCGTAAAAATATTTTTTCTAAAAAATAATTGTCGCGAACGCATTTTGTCGGTCTGGAGAAAAGAGTGCATGGAACCGATACCCGAACCGTGGGAAACAATGCTGGCATTCGGGTACCCGAACATGAAAAACATGGAACCGTTTCACCCCTAGTTTGCATGCAAGCACATCGTGGATAGAAGTCGGGTTTGCATGCAAGCACATCGCGGATAGAAGTCGGGTTTGCATGCAAGCACATCGCGGATAAAAGTCGGGTTTGCATGCAAGCACATCGCGGATAGAAGTCGGGTTTGCATGCAAGCACATCGCGGATAGAAGTCGGGTTTGCATGCAAGCACATCGCGGATAGAAGTCGGGTTTGCATGCAAGCACATCGCGGATAGAAGTCGGGTTTGCATGCAAGCACATCGCGGATAGAAGTCGGGTTTGCATGCAAGCACATCGCGGATAGAAGTCGGGTTTGCATGCAAGCACATCGCGGATAGAAGTCGGGTTTGCATGCAAGCACATCGCGGATAGAAGTCGGGTTTGCATGCAAGCACATCGCGGATAGAAGTCGGGTTTGCATGCAAGCACATCGCGGATAGAAGTCGGGTTTGCATGCAAGCACATCGCGGATAGAAGTCGGGTTTGCATGCAAGCACATCGTGGATAGAAGTCGGGTTTGCATGCAAGCACATCGCGGATAGAAGTCGGGTTTGCATGCAAGCACATCGCGGATAGAAGTCGGGTTTGCATGCAAGCACATCGCGGATAGAAGTCGGGTTTGCATGCAAGCACATCGTGGATAGAAGTCGGGTTTGCATGCAAGCACATCGCGGATAGAAGTCGGGTTTGCATGCAAGCACATCGCGGATAGAAGTCGGGTTTGCATGCAAGCACATCGCGGATAGAAGTCGGGTTTGCATGCAAGCACATCGCGGATAGAAGTCGGGTTTGCATGCAAGTACATCGCGGATAGAAGTCGGGTTTGCATGCAAGCACATCGCGGATAAAAGCCGGGTTTCCATGCAAGCACATCGCGGATAGAAGTCGGGTTTGCATGCAAGCACATCGCGGATAAAAGCCGGGTTTCCATGCAAGCACATCGCGGATAGAAGCCTGAAAATCAAACGGGTCAAATGCATAGAAGTCTGTCGTCGCGCGTAGAAGCCTGGCTTCTATGCAAGCGCGGATCGGGTAGGTAAAGAGTGCATGCGCTATATACGGTGCATAGTAAAACTGCCGCCATACCGGTAGTCAGTGGTAGATCTACGCGTGTCGCGCGTAGAAGCCTGGCAACAATATCAGTGGTGCATATAAGCTTGGTTTGCATACAAGCCTGATGCAGGAAGCGGCTTATGTATAGAATATAAGCTGAGTCCCGAGTATTTACGGGAAATAAAAACCCGAGGCAAAAAACCGAGGCGAAGCCGAGGTTTTTTGCCGAGGGTTTTTCCCGTAAACACGAGGGCAAAGAAACCTCCAGTCATTTGCGTGTTCTAAAAAGCAGTTAATATATCTGGTAATCACTCATATAAAAACCTGGTACAGGTGGAATCCTGAACATTCGAATATGGCTTAATTCGAACATACCGCTTAATTAGAAGTTTTTCCAGGACCGATTTCTATCAATACGATTCCCACATAAAAATTTCTGATAATTCGAACCTCATACGATCCGCGCAAGTATTTTCTTCAGCCATGGCAGGATTTCAAAAGAAGCTGTGTTCGAAGCCGACTCCTGTTCCCAACAGCAGGCCAGGTTGGTCAATTGTGTGGGAACCGTGAGTTCGAATACTAGTAGTTGTCCGTTGACGGGAAACTAAAAGCTGTTGTTATCATACAACGGGTCCGTAACTTCTAATCTCCATGACAACTTGGAAACGCATAAGACGACCGACGCTGCACCTGAAACTAGAGCCGTTTTCAAGATTTTCTGTTGTATCGTCCTTGATCTGAGGCACCCTCGCGTGGTACCTGGAATCTCCTGGCTTGCTGGTCTTTCGTAAATTTCCGGCCTATGTGCCTACATGTATTGCGGAGAACAACTTTGTATGCTGCACTTCAATTGAAGGTTCGATCATTCGTTCGTTTGAAACAGAAGGATTCTTTTCTCATAAAGAACATTTGTCCCAACACTAGTTTATACGTTATTTACTCAAATCTGTGGACAGCAACTGTTATTTACTTAGGGGCCATCTAGTATTATCGATAACTTTCATGGAACGAAAAAGTTTAGTTATGACCCTCCCCCTCCCACCCACCCCCTTCAACGAAAAATATATTGACTTGACAACTAGAATGGATTGATGTTTCAGCTATCAATAATTTTCGAAACGAAACTCTCCTCAACCCACCCACCCATAGACGAAACTTTTTCTCTTCGTGAAAAAGATCGATAATTACGGACGGCCCCTTAAAAGTCAACATGTGCAACCCTGAGGAAAATGCAAAAGCCCTAATTTCATCAAGGTACAGTAGAACGCCAATTATCCGGACATCATGTATAAGGAAGATCGATTATCCGGATCTCCCGGTCGGGCTGGACAATAAAAAATTAGCAGCTTTTTCGAGGTTTTTGCTGATTTTCCCCCACGCGGACCACCATTCAAGTGATGCACAAGATGTACAGGTGGAATCCTGATAATTCGAATATGGCTTAATTCGAACATACCGCTTAATTAGAAGTTTTTCCAGGACCGATTTCTGTCAATACGATTCCCCCATAAACTTTTCTGATAATTCAAACCCCGAACCAGACATGTCCGGTTAATTCGAAGTTCCACGGATTCCACTTACATAGAAAATGTGTGGGATTTGTGCTGATAATTCGAAGTTAGCAACGTGTTATTCGAAGTTCACTGTACACTGTACTGGTCAGTTCAGTTTGCATGAGCAGGCTGTGCCGGTCAGTTCAGTATCCGTGAAATCTGTGTCTAAGGTCCATAGCGCAACTCTGCGTGACCATGAGAGCATTTTGACATACATTATTGTGTTGTGGGTTCATGTTTGGATAATTAGATAAGAATGTCCGGCTAATTAGAAGTTTTTCCTGGCATTTCGAGGTTCGAATTATCAGGATTCCACCTGTATTACAACAGGTTGGAGTCCAAATGTATAGCAATAGTGTCATTTTGAGGAGCTGGGATGCGCCGAGGTCCTGTTGTACTGCCAAAGAGAATGAAAAATGATGAAAAAGTGCAGGAATATGCATGTTTTAGATAGATGTGTGACTGCCCCCTTATCCCAACAATGATTCTTCTCATCTCAACCCCCTGGTGCGGCAGGTGCGGCCAAAGCCGCACCAATAATTTGATAGTGTAATTTTTGTAGAATTTTGAAGCAATGAATTATGGGCTATTTGGGGCTGCTTTTCCGAACAGATCCTGGGGAAGGACCCACAGCCTCTTCATGGCCGCACCAATGTGGGAAAACTTCCAACGCCCTTGTGAAAGTTGAAGTTAATACTGTGAAACCGGGAAAATTCGCTGGAGATTTCATTTTCGGTCACTTCGGTACTGGTAATTTTTACCTAAAATAAAACGTGACCTAAAATTCAACCATGACATGCCACACAGTGTGCAAAATGCACTTTTGGATCTGGAAAACTGGTTTAGCGAAATGTTGGCGCTACCGAACCTTCATTTTGTTGAAATACCGAAAATGTTACACCATCGAACATTCCTGGTTTTACAGTATATCCTGATTGTCAAGAGGTCTACTTTGTGAAGTACATGTATTATCAAGAGTACATAACCCCCCAGAGTGTGCAACGCCGATCCAGCTCTGCATAGGGTCTTGGTCGAGCGGACTCGGACCTTCTGATGTCATGCGTACACTCCACACCAGCGCAAGGCCGGTCTCGAGGCAGGGCACCATTGTTTTTGACCCAAGAGTACTCGCGACTCCCCGGGTTCCCCCCAGATGTGTACGGTATTATGACGCAAAGATCCGATTCCGCTCGACCAAGACCCTAAGCAGAGCTGGATCAGGCGTTGCACACTCTGGGGGTTATGTACTCTTGGTTCTATGTACCACTGGCACACTATAATGGTACCTTTTTTTCTCTGCAGGCTAATCATCGCCCTCATTATCACTGCTTTCGTGGTGCTCAGCGGCATCTTCTGCTGCTGCTTCTTCTGCACCTGCTGTCCACTCTTCAGACAGCGTCACGGCGGGGCCACATACGTATTGGTCAACACGGCTCCCAAAGTGAACTACCAAGCGCTGCCCCAGACTACTACAGCACACCAGGGCAATCCAAGTAAGTCATAGTTGCGTCTGTGCTGTGCGTGTACAAGTCTGCCGGTTCACCTCTCCTCTCTACACCCTGTGTCAGTTTAGCAAGAGGAGATAACCCCCCCCCCCCCCCCCCCAAGAGTGTGCAACTCCTGATACCCTTTCCATGGGGTTCGCCAACGGCGACCACTCCCATCACGTGGTGTTGTGTCGCAGTTGTACGTTTCCAGCCCGTTTTTACTTTTTAGCGAGCAGCGGAGTAGTAATAATACGAAACATGCCTGAGACACAGGATGTGAGTTCACGCCGTCGGAGACCCCATATGCAGAGTTGCACACTCTTGGGGGCGGGGGTTATAATTATACTCTTGATGTTAGCTTTGTGTCTTCATCGCTGGAATGCAGCACATGCAAACTCGACTGAGAATACATGTACAGACTGTCAGTAAATATACAATAAGGCCAAAACAAAAAATAGGCTTGTTTCCGGTCGGCAACCCCTCAAAAAGGAGACTCGGTCGGCCGGAATGAAACTTTTTTTGGATACTTTTTTTGGTTCCTCAATCGTTGTGGTATTGATGGACAAGAGCACCTACACATGTACATTGTACATATATCATGGCAAGGATCAATGTAAAAGTGACTGACTCACTGTTCTTGTACAGCATGTGGTGTATTTCTGTTTTCGTACATCCTGAGAAATCAAGCAAACAGTTCGAGTCCTTCCAGCTCCGTTATTCTAGCTCGTATCGACCCCGGAGGTTTTCGAGCCGACAGCTGAGAATCTCTGCTACCTTGTAGGTGTTTCGATTGTGGAATTCGGTTGAGATTTGACTGAGTTATGACTCGTTGATGCCACCGTTTGTATACATTTGGGACCAAAAAAAAGTTTCAGAATTTGGGAAAAAGTGGCCCGGTCGGGCGACCGGAAACAAGGTCATTATTTGTTTTGGCCTAATTATATCAGCAGCTGTTTGATTTCGACCATATTCGGCACCGACCCATAATGCCTAAATTAAAGCGCTGATGTAATGTTTCCCATTGGCTTTGGTGATGTACTAGTCAGGGATGAATTTACTGCCATATTTTGCATAGCAGTTTTTCCTATGCAAAATCTCAATTGTGGCGCAAGCTACAAAAAGCATGAATAGCCTGTACATGTATGTATGGCAGTTTTCTGCGTGTCACTGTGATTTTTGAGTAGCAGTAGATCGATTTTGCATAGCAAACTGCGATGTGATACTGGATAAATTCATCCCTGCTAGTATTATAACCCCGTACCGAAAATACATCGCTGCCGAAATGTCGAAAATTGTGAAGTGCCAGAATGTTGCAGTGCCTACATTTGGTAAATTTACAGTGTCTTTTTACGGACTGTGTGTATGCATGTCAGCATCCTCGGACTGGAGCGTTTTACTCGTTGCCTCGCACTGCTAATTTTACCAGTTTCCCGGCTTTGTTTGAAACTGCTGGCCAACGGACATGTTTGTTCGCAGTGTGTGTGTGGGGGGGGGGGGCATGCGTGTCCGTTTGTGTGCCAGTTTGTCTGTTTGTGTGCCAGTTTGTCTGTTTGTGTGTGTGTGTGTGTGTGTATTAATGTGTGTTTGTGCGCTTGTGTTTATCTGCATGTGTGTTTGTTTTTGTTCATGTTTTCTACAGCGGCATCATCTCACAGCTAAATACGGTAGCCGTGGTCAGCTATCATACATTTGCGTGTACCACGAGGCTCTGTTCCTATGGAATTCAGCAATCGCTGTACGGGCGATTTGCAAGCTGAATTAGATGCCATTGTTTGCTATGCCGTCTGTTCGGGTGTGTGGGGAGTATTCATGGCACATTCCTCTACATTTGGCCACTTTTTTGTTGGTACCGAAATATTCGGTAAGGCTACAACTTGAAGAAGCATCTTGATAACTGAAACTATGAAATTTAGAGTTAGCCCGCACTCTTGTAAAGTGCTCATATTTTCTTTTCATAATTATGCGTTTGTGGATCATTACCATTGCAGTATTTTATTTACTTATTTGTTTGAGGAGTTGAGACGGTAGGCAGCATGCACTTCTCAGCCTGCGCATCATTTGGTCCAAACTCCCCACCTCAATATTCGAATACCTACACTGTCGTCTGAATCATTTTTTTCCTCTCTATGAAATACACGCCGCTCTCCAAAGTGCACTGAAGAGACCAATGATGGCCTTTCAGCACAATTCATTGTTTTCACACAAGCAGCTACCGACTCCAAGGGAGGTGGGTGGAGTGGGTGGCACGTAGCGCGCTCCGCCGACCTGCATGCTGCTGATGATGGCCTTGGCGTTGCTGCTGGACATGTGCACCAGGGGAGCCGAATGTGGAAGATGATGAAAGAGCAGACGAGTAAGGGAGGAAAAAGCTGGAGAAGACAGTCTGCGTGTTGTTTCATTTTGCAAGGATCCTTTTCTACCCACAGTAGTCATGCGCATGTACAGTAAAACCTGTCAAGGCGACCACCTGTCCTAGAAGACCACTGAAACCAGGACTACGTGATCCTATTTCCCAGTCGACTGACCCTGGATAAGGAGACCACCTGGTAACAGAGACCGCGTTTTGAAGGTCTCATGAGCGGTCGTCTCAGGCAGGTTGCACTGTATCTATGTGCACAGTATCTTGCGTGTGCCAGTGTGATCCTGCACCTATATCGGCTCCAGGTGCTAGATTTTACTTGGCTTTTAACTCTTGATCAGTTGAGATGGCTCCGTATCTGGTATGTCTGCCAAGAAGAGAGTAGCGATGCGGGGTGGCACGACCTCGAAACCTGCTGCTGGCAATGGTGACGTACCCGATCCGAGTCCCATGATAATTATGATGTCATGACGTCAGGGTGACTGCCTTGACGTCATGACTCGGGGTCAACCTCGTGAACCACATACGAGTTTCTCTTCCTATCCTGTAGACTGTACATGCCATCAAGAGTTTATGGACTCTTGATGCCATATAGGGCATCAGATGCTCATTTGAGTCATATTTCTCTCCTCCGCGATACGATTACGAAGCCCCGCTCCCTCGTCGACGATCGACGAGTCTCGAACTACTACTACAAAGGACAGCAGCAGGTTCCTTTACTTTGACCATTGCGGCTTGTTGTTGTGGGAGCTTGACGTAGCAGGCCAGTCATTGGCAGTGTTCGAAGGCTACCACCAGGTCCACCCGCCGACCTTGCCCCGCTTGTCAAGCAACTGCGCAAGCAACTTCAACGGACTTAGCCATGGCTTCAGGATATCTTCTGGTGTTGGCTGTCGCTGTGCTGTCCCTTGGGGCACTCTGTGGTAAGTTCTCTTGCAAAATGGTCGAACTCTTGTCATACGGTCCAGGACTGTCAGGTGCTGTATGTCTGTAACTGTATGAGCAACTAGTCTGACGAAAATTCTTGCCCTGCAGCTTTTAAATTACTTTGAAGTACATGTACCATAATAATGCCATGTACCCTCGCCGGTTTCTGAGGGCTGGCCAGCCTAGCTTGTGGCCGATCGAACTCTCTGACCCCTCACCTACCTACTCGTATATTGAATTTGTCAGCGCATTCTGATGCGGGGGGGGGGGGGGGGAGGGGGAGTTAGCTGGTGTATGGCAAGGTAATGGGTTCTTTTTAGCATGACTCCATGCACGGAATCCAGCTCTTAAGACATTGAAGATGTTGTGGAAGAGCCTGAAGTGTGGCCTTCTTCTTTTTTGTATTTCAAACTCTTACCCTCGCAAATATGCCGCGCAATAGAACTTTTGCAATCAGGGGGGGGGGGGGGGGGGCAGCATGTCTGCATGTCTGCAAGTACCATATAAACATGCAGAATGTCCAGCCGCCCCCGTTGACAGCGGGACAATTTTGCTTTGGACCAAAACACTCACATGCATTTGATATGGGTGTGCAATCTGGAGTGGTATCCTGCGGATAGTGGCGGTAATAGTGCAGCACTATTAAACTTAAAGGGGAAGTTAAGGCAAAAATTAAAATTTCACCAGTTGTAGTCTTCGGGGTGCTGAGTCGAATGGTCTTGGTCCGAGAAAGCTGAGACGCTCCCTTCCTACTTGAATCCCAATCGAACTCGCGCACTTCCACCGAAACTGGGTGACTGCGCCCTACGAGATGGGGATTTGTATGCAAAATGTCACTAAAAGCGCCATTTCGTTCTTATAAAAGCACGGATGACCGCGATTGGCCCATATGTTGTAGTCCTTTGGACGCTGAGTCGACTGGTTTTGGTCCGAAAAGGCTGCGATGCAGCGTTCCTCCTTTATTCCCAATCGAACATGGTTGAAGAAGCGGTCACGTGCTCCTGGGTGCCAAAATCACCTGGTCACCACGGCAGCAGGCGACAACTTTCACACCAAGGTTCAACTCGAGTGACAGGACTGCACCCAAAAAAGGTCAAAACAGGCTGTAAGTTGTACCCTGCAGGCACGGTGACCAGGTGACTGGTGTAGGCAGGAGCACGTGACCGCTTGTTCGACCATGTTCGATTGGGAATTAGGGGCGAACGCTGCATCGCAGCCTTTTCGGACCAAAACCAGTCGACTCAGCATCCAAAAGACTACAACATATGGGCCAATCGCGGTTATCCGTGCTTTTATAAGAACGAAATGGCGCTTTTAGTGACATTTTGCATACAAATCACCATCTCGTAGGGCGCAGTCACCCAGTTTCGGTGGAAGTGCGCGAGTTCGATTGGGATTCGAGTAGCAAGGGAGCGTCTCAGCTTCCTCGGACCACGACCATTCGACTCAGCACCCCGAAGACTACAACTGGTGAAATTTTAATTTTTGCCTTAACTTCCCCTTTAACTATTTTATTCCGTGAGAAAATTATCGATAATGTCGGATGGCCCCTAACAAAGTTGATGTTTGTATTGTCGATGGCTCAGAGAACACATTGAATCATGCCTGTTCAACCCTCCCCCATCCCTTAAAGGGTACATATTGAATCATGACTCTTCAGCCCCCCCCCCCCCCTTCAAGTGCAAGGGTACATTAATATTGAAACATGACTGTTCAACCCCTCCCTTTAAGGGTGCACAATGAATCACGACTGTTCGCCCCCCCCCCTCCCTTTAAGGGTGCATGTTGAATCATGACTGTTCACCCCCCCCCCCCCCCCTGCAAGCGTTCATATTGAACTGAGTCATGACTGTTCAGCCCCCCCCCCCCCCTTCAAGGGTACACATTGAACTGAATCATGACTTTTCACCCCCCCCCCCCCCCCCTCATCAAGGGTGCACAACGGCGTGCCTGGACTCGGCTGGAGTAAGGTCTGGTTGACTCAAAACAACTCGTAGATCCTGACCTTTTCCATTCTTTTGCATGCGTGTGCATTTGTACATGCATGATGTGCGTGTGCATGTGTGTGCTGGCGTTGCTCACATGCGTACATGGGTGTGGTGCGCACGTACGTGCATATGTTTGTGCAGAGGCCAGCGAGTGTGGCAAGCTGAGCTGCCCACCAGTGGAGAAGCCGCTATTGACGGATTGCTGCAACGAGACGACCACCCCTTTCACACCAGTGATATATACCTGCTGTTTGCCGCATGAGGGCAAGTTGGTTAAGAAAGCCTTGGAGGTGTGGTTAGTATCTAATGTTTGTTACTGAAGGCCAGGAAGTGATGCTCGTGTGACTGTTGCGCAGGTAGTAGTGTTGCATTGTCATTGTTTGTCACTTACACTTACTACTATCAAGAGTACATAACCCCCCAGACTGTGCAACGCCTGATCCAGCTCTGCATAGGGTCTTGGTCGAGCGGAATCGGATCTTTGCGTCATAATACCGTACACATCTGAGGGGAACCCGGGGAGTCGCGGGTACTCTTGGATCAAAAACAATGGTGCCCTGCCTCGAGACCGGCCTTGCGCGGGTGTGAAGTGTACGCATGACATCAGAAGATCCGATTCCGCTCGACCAAGACCCTACACAGAGCTGGATCGCCGTTGCACACTCTGGGAGGTTATGTACTCTTGCTACTACTACTACAGTTGTGGCAAGTGAAATCCGACACTTGCCATAGCAGTCCGTGCGCCAAATTCAAAAAAGTCGTCTAGAAGTTGCACTTTTATTTGCAACCGCGGGAAATTTGAGAGGTCTGGAGAAGAAAATTCTCAATGGGACTCAAAATTGACAAACAAGACGACGACCAGCGCTCGAGCATAGTACCTTTTCGCCATTCCTTCGTGCATGATACCTATTCTAATTGATAAACACTACCCTCATGTTTCGTTTCATGCGCAACGGACGAAGCGAAGTGTCTTTTTTCGTCCACGAAAGAAAGGTAAGGAAATTGTCGTCTTCGCGACACCCTTCGGATTATTTAGTGGGGCATTGTGGGCCAAGGGTATTTTTTCTTTTTCTTTACAACTGTCCCCAGGTACTGAGACGGCGCTGATATCCTAGGAGTTCTGTTAGTGCAAAATGCCAGGTTACTGACTTACGGCGAGGTTTGTCCACCCAAAAATATGGGAGATTTCTTGGATAACATACACACATAATACAGTGAATGGTATTGCAGTGGGCATCCAAAACGGTTGAACCAAACAAATAATTATGGTATGATACCTAGAGGCTAGGCACACAAAAATCACTCAGGAATCGGACGCAAGTCCCGGGACCTTGGTGCGGCATTACACCCGGACATTGAATGTTTGCCGGCGCACGGCTTTTGCTTCACCACTTAATACAAGTTTACGCACTCACTCAATTCGAAAGACTGGAACGAGACCAAACCAAATGTGACAACTAAGAGCGAGTTGTGCATTTGTTGGAACAACGTTCGGGCATTGCGAGAAGGATATCAGCAGGGTCCAACAATGGCAGCAACAGCACCAGGTGATGATGGAGTACCAAGGAGCTTGTATCATGCACATTACAGTGAGCAACAAGAGAAACCGTACTGTGGTACGTGAAATCAGAGCCTGGGCAGGATGATCGACACTGTACACTGTGCTACAGCGCCTCAATTGTGCGAGAGAAAACAAACAGACCAGCAAGCACAGATCATGAACTGGTACACAACATTGACAAAGCACAAACCGCACAGCAAAGTTACAGGGCATAGCCGAGCGTTTTGTTGCCAATGAATTGCTTGAGAAGGGAGCAGTATTCCTTGTAACATTGCATGGAGTATACGAGAACGCAGAGTCAGAACCAGGCGTAACAAGGCAAGACGGCTACTGTACAGGGGCAGGCTTGACGATCACTTGCATACTCGCAATTTTGGTACAACCAGGAAATTAGGCATCACGTCATCCCGAAGTGGCTTCGACACGCTACATTGCATTCATAGCTGTACGGTGACCCTGTTACACAAGCTTCTGTGAAACAGACAGCATGCCAATGACCTGCAAGCACCAACAAACGCAGCCGGTAAAACAAACGCTACATAACTGCCCAACATAAACTTGTACATGCTGATGAGAAGCAAGAATGTGCTTGATGTTGGAAGTTATGCTCGCATATTCAAAAACATGCATGGAAAAACATCAATGACATTGTTCACGAATACAACAGAAACATCATACAGGGAGAGTAAGTAATCCTTCCTCCGTTTTGTATACGCGCACGCGCGCGCGTGGTAGATAAATCTGTTTGGCATGACTCGATCGAGGTTGCGTTCACCGTAGAGATAGGTGAACTCGAAGCCAACACCTCTCACTTTCGCTCTACTGCCCCTTTGGGGCCGATGCGATCCTTGTGCCAAGTTGTGGTAGTGGCTCAACAGAACAGGACAGGTGTGTGTGTGTGTGTGTGCGCGCGTGCGCGCATGTGTGTGTGTGTGTGTGTGTGTGTGTGTGTGTGTGTGTGTGTGTGTGTAAGTGTGGTTTCTGAACTTTTCTCACAATCGTATAAGTTTCAAATTTTCGTGAAAACCCAGCTACACTGTGACCGGTACAATCGCATGTCGTATACTAGTATCTGGCGGTCAGTCACATGGCATGTCGGGTATCCAACAGCACCGCACTGACAGCTTATAGACCTTATATTTAGTATTTATAGTCCTACTTCAAGTAAATGTAGACAGTCAGCATCATGAAAGTTGCCATTACGTAGAGTTAAATACAAGCCAGTCACTAGAGATGCATTTCGATAAATACAGGTACTTCGAAGTAGTCTTTTTGATCTGTTAAGTTAACACAAGATGGCTTTGTAGCTTCAGTCGTCCAGAATATTCATTTTATTCCGCGGTTGCCGCATAATCGACACGCAACTGTACTTGTGCAAATCTCCAAACGCTACGTAATTGGCCGACATTATTTGTCCACGGTGATGAGAAGCACGGCTCCTAATTTTTAAATCATGAAAGGATTACATATGCAGGTACATCCACACAATGTGCACTATCCTGAAGTGGTGCGCAAATATTCAAAATCATTCACCGAACACAGAGAGGCGCACATACCGTAAAGTACCGCGAGAGCGCCCCACCTTGATTTTGCCGCGACAGATTTTACAGCCAGGGAAAGGAAAATCGTATGGCAGAGTGCAACGAAGTTCGTACGGTGTGAGCAACTTAGTGTACTAAGGTCACACTAAGCAGGTTTTTGTGTGGAGCTCGTGTCCGCTCGAAGGCACGGATTGTCTGCAGAACGTGCAATATGTGTACAAAGTTCGTGTCGTATAACCTACAGACAGGAGACCACCCCCACAATACGACCCCGAAAGGACGAGATGGTGGGGCGCTCTGGCGGTACTTTACGGTACATGTAAATACGAAGGAACCACATGCGCAGCAAGGAGATTAGTCATTACTTTACTTATGAGTTTGATTGATAGAAGTTTCCTTTCAGCTGACCATTACCACTCATGAAACCAATAGTGAGTGCTGTTGTTCTGATTCACAGGTATATATTCGGCCCTTAGCGCAATGTGTTTTCGAAGCTAGGCACACGATTTGCATGAGGAAATCATGCAAAGATGTGGCATAAGGCCCTACAAACGTGACCTAGGTAAAGGGATGCCATTATTTGCATTTTCAGTACTTTGGCATAGGATAATTTGTGGATGATTGTGTTGATCAATTTCACATAATTTCACGACAGGTCATAGTTTATTTAGTGGGGTGTTGTGGGCCAAGGATCTACGACCATCTCTTTTGCATTTCGAACAAGTAGACACTTTCAACAATTCATACAAAAAATGCCTTCAGTGCAAAACATACCGTTCGGACACACCAGGCAGTCCTTTCCAGCATTGATTTTCAAGTGCAGACGTATCCACGATGACCTTCGAGTGAACTGCGGCTTGGAACACTTTGAATACGAAGCACACACTCAAACTAACTAGACCACCGCATAGCTAGTGTATTCACGGAGCCAAAGAAGTCTCCTTCTGCCCCCACAGGGTCTTGGTTAGTTCTCTAGAAGGGACGAGAGCCATACCTAAATTCAATAAATTCTCCAATTCCAAAAGCCTCAAATGAAGGCGTCTTGGTGACTTCGTTTCCCGCGGTTGCAAATAAAATCAGCCCTTGAGTACCCCTTGGCGCACGGACTGATAGGGGACAGCGCCACAAATGGATATCAATGGTGTAATGCACTGCACCAAATTTGTACTATAGAGCCGTATGCATCCCAAACAGATCGAAAGGTCACAGCGTAGATACACACAGTTCACGAACAAAGTACACATAAGGAGTATTGGTATCCAAATCCCCATTCATTTTTGCCAGCACCTTTTGAACTTTGACTGTGTGATGAGTACGAGTTTTGTCATCAGACAGATAAAGTTGTACGTAACACATGTACTGTATGTACGCAGGGCTGCAAGGGCTGCAGACTGCGTGGTGCAGTCCCTTATGCCAAGTGTTGGATTTCACTTGCCACACCTGTAGTATGCAGAACCACAATGGCACGAGGCTAGTTGGTTGTAACTCGCATGTGTGTAATGTAAGGGTGGCCAGTTGAGCTTGCCATTCTTGTTCTCTGGAGGCAAGGCTTTGCTCAGCTGTCAGTAGCAAGTACCTGATGAGGTCACCATGACATCATGGCCTCACTGAGGGCATCGCTCTCTGGCATTATGTACATTATACAGTGCCACTCAATAAAGTCCGATCGCGTTAGTCAAATACTCGCTGGGCCCTATGCAGCCCGGACCTGCGAACACTTAGATGTGAACAGGTTACGCTTGCAAGCTTGACTCACGAAATCGTATTTTATTGTGCAGCACTGTACAGTACAGTCCACTTCCCTTATAACGACACTCGGTGGGGCGTGAGAAAGGTGTCCTTATTCGCGAAGTGTCCTTATACCCGAAGTCTCAATATATGTATTACAGTGGGATGGGACTTTGCTCTGGGCATGGAAATTCTGTCGTTATTCGCGAATTGTCGTTATATCCGCAGTCGTTATTAGCGAAGTTGACTGTAGTTCCTAATTCAATATGTAGCAGCCAACCATTCGCGTCCCCCTGGTACTGGTATTGTGGTCTCCTGCCGTCTTTCACGATAATTATTATGTGATTTTGAGCCGTCGTAACAAAAGTTGTCGTCCCTGAACCGAACATCGCTCGTTTCGTACCCTGGCCCCTGCCCGAGATGAGTGATTTGTTGAAACCAGTTTCTACCTCTGTTTACAAGCACACTCTGGGAAATATCAAGAGTACATAACCCCCCAGAGTGTGCAACTCCCACATACCCTGCTGTCCCGACAGAATTTCAAGTTGACGTCATTATTCATGACGCAATGCTCCTTGCACCAGTGATTTACAACATGTGTACGGGTGTCCACGCGTCACACGTTTTTCTTTGCAGTAATTTGTAAAGGATCGATCAGCTTCGGTCAACCACATGTTCCGGATTCGTCTGATAATACGTGTACAGTGCGCATTGCATCATCAAAATGACGTCAACTTGAAATTCTGTCGGGACAGCCCCCATAGTGGAGTTGCACACTGTGGGGGGGGGGGGGGGGGGTATGTACTCTTGGAAATATAGAGAGTAGCTGGCAGTCTAGCGTGGCCTGGATGAGAGGGTTTTAAATGCTTTGTTTTACCTAGGTCATCATGTGCGTTATTCGAACTGATAGAAGCATCTTTGCTATACAGAAACATGACGTGCTGCTGTGGTGCTCTGCTTTGCTGTGCGTCCTCTGCAGGATAATAGCCTGCATCGTTGTCGCTGTTGTCGGCTCGCTTGGTGCGGTCTGCTGCTGCTGCTTCTGCTGCGCGTGCTGCCCGATCTTCTCGTCGCGCCAGAAGAACACAACGCACGTCTCCACGCACTACCAGACGCTGCCACAGGGCGGCAACGCAACCTACCATGCCGACCAGAAGGTGCCGCTAGCCACAGCCTGTGAGTTTCACTTGGCCAGTTCTACAAGTGGGAATGTATTTTTGCAGCCATACTAAAAATAGTAACTTTGCCCTGCACATGCATGGCCTGTTGTTATCACTGAGATAAATAACTCTCCTTGCATGCTTTTCACAGTCGTACTGTTTGTGAGCAGGCATAGTGAGATGATCTCGAGAACTAAGGCCATTACTTAGGCGGTGTTTACATGAGGCGTTTCAACCCGGGTTGAGTTCGACCCGGGTCAGATTTCAACCCGCCATGTGCATAAAATGAATTGCGCGTTTACATGACGCATTGCGCTTGACCCGGGTTGAAATTTCGCCCCGGGTTGATTTCAACCCTCCCCCCAAGGGGAGGGTTGAAATCAACCCGGGTCAAGAAAATCGTACAAACGTACTTCTGTGCGTATCTCGCGCCAGGTTTGAACGGCACTGCAGATGCAAATTTCGCGCGAACGGATTCACGTGACCATACAGGACTGTAGAAGTGGACTTTTGGCGGCATATCAGTATTTGACCCGGGTCAACTGACTTCATGTAAACGCTCGCCTCTTTTGTCTATCGTACAGACTTTCAACCCGGGCTGAACTCGACCCGGATTGAAATTTCTCATGTAAACACAGCCTAAGAAACAGAGGGTACCAGGTTGCCAAGTCCTTCTTGTGTCACTAGTCGTGCGAACCGTGCTTGTGCTTGTGCTGTGACTGATCCCTGAATCGAAGGTGCATTGTGTGCGTGTGTGGGTCGGTCAGTCGGTCGGTCTGTATATCTGTACATACACGTGTGGCCCTACGTGTATCCATGGATGTGTTCATGCATGCTCGTGTGTCTTTCTGACTGTCTGTACATACTTTGAAGTACATTATGTGCCTACGTGTAGTCTGTACATACTTCGAAGTACATACAATGTATGTGCCTCTGTGTATCCATTCGTGTGTGCATTCATGCCCGTGTGTGTGTTTGTGTGTTTGTATTTACTTATCTTTTGCAGACCCGTCATACAGTGCCTAGCCAGAGGATCATTATCAACACCCACACCTGGTAATTCTCGTCTGCTTTCCGTAGCAGCTGCTGATGGTGATCAAAGATGGTCTTTATTTTCAGAGCCAATTTCTCTCTTTGTTATAGCAAGTGAACCATTTCTAGCACTCCTCGCTGTTCTTTGTTCGACTTGAGTTTACTACAAGATTTTGGTTTCAGAAAGGCCATGTTTAGAGCCATTCAATTCAGACATATTCAGCCCTCTTCTGGGATGAAAAGTAAGGAACTCATCGCTCCTGCCCAGCACTTCTCATGATGCCTTCCACAGTGACATGTGATTAGGTGTGAAGTCTGGCGAGGGTCAATTCATTGATCATAGATAACGTTAGATACAGATATTTTTTCTTTCCGGACACCTCGGATGTTAGTCCAATTTTCAATTTTATCATGATTTGTATGAAGAAAAATTATATAATTATAATTATTATTAACTAGTTTGAGTGTTCATGAGTTGTTTCTGCACTGTTCATGCCCTTTTGTCACACATACTCTTAATCTTAGTTCTCACTTTTTGTAATACTTACGCGTCATATGTCACACTTCTTTGGATTTTTAACCTTTGTTTTTCCCTTGATCACGTTAGTTCCGTATTTCCACTGATGATCGGAGCTTGAAAATTGATTTTGGAAACACACAAAACCAAACCTTGAACAAATTGTCACGTTGCGTGGTGATGTCTGCGGCATTCATACTTTTCATAGCTATTATTTTAAAAACTAGTTTGAGGGTAGTTTGAGGGAAATATTATATTTACAGAGAGCGGAGTCCTCCGGTTCGATAGAGTGCTCAATGCGGCAGCAGAGCAGTAACACACGAGTCAACAATCCAGACGCGTGGTACTCTGTGACTCGTGTATAATTATATTTATACAAAAGAGAAAGACCAAGGAACTGCAAGTTACGATACTGTCCACTAACACCACCAGTTACTAAACAATCAGCTCATTTCGATACCATTGCACGACACTGGGACTGACCGTCTTTCTCTTTTGTATAAATAATTACAGTCTGTATCGGCTATAGAGTGACCGGATATAAGAATATATCGGCTACAGTGATATTGGTACGAAATATCAAAAGCAAAACGTATTTTATCCAGTACAAATATCACTATAACCAATATTATCGGATGTAATGATATATCGGATATTATGATGGCAACAAAGGATCAAAACATGCATTACAGTTTACACACTACATTATCATGATTATTATCGGCTATAGTGATAACTTTAAAAATACATGTTGCAATAATATCAAAGGCACTATTTTTTTTTACTTTCTTCACGTTCTTCACGTTGCTTATTTTGATAGTGACACGTGTACATGTACATAACAGAATTTTTTTATGGAAATGCGGGCACTGTCAACTATGCAGCATGCTCATTTGTCAAAACGCCATGCTGGAAGTATTTCCTTGCCTTTCATGTGTCGATCGAAAAAAATCGATCGTATCGCATAATATAGTGATGCATCGGTTATAGTGATAAAATCACGGAAATCAAAAGGGTACGCTATAGCCGATACAGACTGTAATTAAACCTTGAGGGCACTCTAATCTCTATAATCTAGACTATCACAGAAGAACGACTCCGTGGTAGTGAGACATGGCGATAGATCTATTATAACACTGGTTAAAAAAACCAGCATTAATACAAGTAGATAAACCTTGTTATAGTTCACGGCTTAACTTCATGCATATTGTTAGATTGACAGCATGAAACAAGGTGTGCAAGGCATAGGCATAGTGGTGGCCTGCGGAAGCGAAGGCTAGTTTGTGTGTTTCTGAACATTCAAGCGATGCCAACGCGAATCCCGCGAATTATTATTATTATTAAACAAGGTGGAGGACACTGTGTTTGGAAACAGTGACCTTCCTACAACCTTCCGTCCTCCACCTTGTTTCATGCTGTCAATCTAAACAAGGTGTGCAAGGCATATGCATAGTGGTGGCCTGCGGAAGCGAAGGCTAGTTTGTGTGTTTCTGAACATTCAAGCGATGCCAACGCGAATCCCGCGAATTATTACTATTAAACAAGGTGGAGGACACTGTGTTCGGAAACAGTGACCTTCCTACAACCTTCCGTCCTCCACCTTGTTTCATGCTGTCAATCTATAACATTGTTGTCACAATATGCGTGATCTACAGTGCATTTCAAAACTATAGACGCGTAGGGTTTTAGAAATCTTTCAAATTTGGCTGGAACTTTTTGAGAATAGTTTTCGGAATATTGCTCAGGTCCGCTCCACTCTCATAATAGTTTCTAATAAACGATTGGATAGCAGACGCCCAATTAAAAATGTTATGCACAAAGTGATCAAAGATTTTATGTGGTATACGTACAGGTATAGATGCTGGCATAACGGTTTTTGGTACGCGTCTATAGTACTCTCAGTGCTGCCAAACCGTCCGATTTTTCGGACAGTGTCCGATTTTTGAAGGCTCGTCCGAAAACCGGTCCGAAAAGGGAAACGTCCGAAAACCAGCCAAAATGTCGGAGATCATTACTTTCCTATACAGAAGTCCTGTACTTTCACTTTTCAGCGCAACTGAAGGCACAAATCACTATGTACATTTGCTTCTAAAAAGGCTAGCGCTTGGCTGTGGAAGTGCAAAGTAACATGCCTGGATCAGGCTGGATGGCATGTAGGCTGACAGTCTCTACAGAGTCAGTGTGCGACCACACTCATCATTACAAAATTCATGACAACTCCGGGGTTACCATGGCAACGAAGCGAATTTTCATGGTGTTTTAGGCGATATTTTGAATTCTCTGTAAAAAAATTGCCGAGGAGAAAAATTCGCACCATTTGACCAGCCTTGCCCTTGGCGGTGAAGTTAAGGAGGCTCCCACCTAAAGAAGTAAAAATAAAAGGTCCATGGACACCCTGTTTTTTATGCATAGAATGGTGGAGTGATGTCTCCTCTTCAACTTGGTATAGTTTTTAGGTAGGGTCACCAGGCATATAAGAGGTATTCTGGTGTATTTAGTGAGTGTACAATTTCTTGATTTTCGGCAAAATAATGGTAAAAAATTTGGTTTTTGACCCAAAGAAGCCTCCTGGAGGGAGGATACTAAGCATTTTCTTCATCATATGTTTAAGAACCACATTTGGAGGTATCTTCGGTACACAAGATAGACTGTGTCTTGGTTTTGCCCTTGGCGAGCCACTTTTTCGAAATTACGGGTACCGAAATTTCCATCGGGTGCTGAATTGTGAAATGGTTCAGCCTGCAACATTTTGTCCATGGACATATCGATTTTTGTGGTTTTCTGTGATCCATGAGCCCCAAGGACACCGATAATGGACAGTTTTGATGGTGTCACCAGGCACTTTAGGCCCCTACGAAACAATATAGGTATCAAAATATGGTATTTTTAGGCCAATTCTGAAAATAGCATTTTTAGAAAATCTGACCATTCTTGCCTTCTTGACTACATAGCACTACCAATGACATAATAGTATGGTAATATTATGTTAGAAGAAGTTATTTCATGCTGCAACCTCCTTTGGACATACCAGATAGTCTGTGGTTGGAAAGGTACATGTATCATTACATGTACATCATGTAGCCATCAGTCCTAGCACATTGATATACGAGTAGTGTACATGTAAGGCAGCGAGGTTTCATAACAACCTCGACCATGAAACTGGCACATGAATAATGTGAAATCAGGCATTCAAAATCAGCCACACTAGACACCCACACGTGTGCGTGCACACGCACATACATGTAAACACCCACATGCACTCTCATGCACGCACTCTCCTGCACGCATCATTGTAACACTACTAGTCCATAATAGGACTTAGTGTAAATAAAAGCATGAAGACCAGCCACTGCACTGGGCGTGCATTTGCTGGTTGTCACTTGCGTTGATAGCAGCAGACTCCAGAAAAACACACGCTATGTACAATGTATGTGAAGGGCAATATGCATCTACACACGCTGGCGTGCAGCACATACCATGTACATCATCATGTAGTGTACTGTCATCATCTCTTGGCAATTCTTTTTTGTGTCTCGAATGCGGTTCACAAATGTGCATTCACATGCACCTCCTGTACTGTAAAGCCACTGCCACACTGTCCTTGCGGGCACCAGAGAATAGAGCCATACAGAACCAGCACCCCCCCCCCCCCTTCCACACCTAGCTTTGCACACGCGCGCGCGTGCATGCGCACACACGCACGTGCATACACACATACATGTACAGTCAACTTCGCCAATAACGACATTCGGCGGGGCATCAGAAAAGTGTCCTTATTCGCGAAGTGTCCTTATAACCGAAGTCCCATTTGAATGTATGTGAACCCATATTTTGCATAGTATGACATGCACATCAAAATCAAGCTCTTTTCTTGCTCTATGTCAATGTGTACTTTATTTTCATATTGCAGTTGAAAGGAACTAAAAATTCAATATGCAAGGGAAATCGGAAAAATATGCCTTTTTGAGCCATCTACAGGGCCAGAGATATGTACATGTATGATGATTACTGTACAATCATACATGTACATTGTATACATATAGGTGTGCTGGTAAATCCAACAATTTTGAAGCCAACATAAAAAAGGAAGAAAAAGCCCCCCCCCCCCTCTTGACTGCATTCTCTTGCATGTGTGCCTTTATAATAATATCCATCACCATAATGTTCTGGTACTTCTGTACATGTACTTGACTGACAGGTACTTGAAATAGCTGTCAAAAGCCCAAAAAGTCGTTATTCAAGCAGTGATTATGACCTTGGGGCACTAAAAGCATGTCGCTATACGCGAATTGTCGTTATTCAGATAGTCGTTATATCCGAAGTTAAATGTATACAGTTAGATGGGACTTTGCTCTGGGCATGGAAATTCGGTCGTTATTCGCGAATTGTCGTTATATCCGCAGTCGTTATTAGCGAAGTTGACTGTACGCAGACATTTGCATGCACATGCACACAGTGTACTCGTGGGAACATGTGCATAACCCAGATCAACATTGCGTGCGAACCCACACATGCGGGCACGAGCACGCGCGCACACACACACACACATGTGCGCACACAAACACATGTGCGCACACACACACACGCACACACACACACATGTGCGCACACACACACACACACACACTCATACACCTACCCACCGCTGAAGCGAGGATAGCGAACAAACTACGTTAGACATAGCAACTTGTGCTCGGATTACACCTTTCAACAGCTTGCACACACATACACACACGCACGCGTGCGTGCACGTACACACGCGCACATACACACATACATACACACACACACACACATAAATGCATGTACTTGCGCATAGGAAAGGATTCAAAATATTCAGCCATAGACAATTACCCAATGCACACCTGAGTGTGCACATCTTAGTTGTGGCATCCCCATTTTACAAGAGCAGGATTTAGAAGTTCGTCCTTGGTTCAAAACACAAGCTTCTGGCCAGCGCTTTCCTTACACCATCAGTACAGTACAGTGGTTGACACGAACCTCATTCCTACAGGGACAGCAGCCCAAGTTCAGCAGCTCTGAGATACGTTGTCCATTGAGCTCAGGATACTCAAGGATCCACCAAAAGTTTCAAACGGCACTCGTGCGACTGGAGCTGCAAGTGGGTCCACTTACCAGCGAGTGGGCAGCCACTTCATGCTCCACAGGTAGTCCATGCTAAATTCCAGTACCAGTACTAGTATCACTACGTTCGACATCGATGTCTTCACTGACTTCAGCCTGCTTTTCTCACCCTTCTTCGTCAGTAATATATTTTCTTCTTTGTGGCCACCGCGTACCGCTTCAGCAAAGTTTTCAGAAAAAAAATCAAGCAGCGTAGGAACTGCCTTTGTTTTGCATTATCCATGGTCAGTGATTCATTCCAGCGTAGAAACTGCCACGGCTACAGAAACACTGCAACAAGTAGAACTACATCCTGGGACAACTGCGAGCACAGAGAAATCAAAAAACTTCTTTCTGAACAACAGCTTGTTTTCGCATGGAACGCGATATTTTTTGAATCTCGCGGCAAAAAACAGATTTTGGAGGTGCCCTTTTTACACTGGTATGATGTCACTGCACATGTCACTGCACATGGCCCACTGGCACTAATAATGCGCATCTGGCTGGATGGATCCGGTCGTTTGACGTTTGGCTTCAAGAAGTCAGGTGAAAATCAGTGAGTGCCATGCCTAGCGCCTGGCAAAGAACTAATATAATTACTACTTGAAAGAATTGTTCCGATATCAAGGAAACAGGTCTTCTACACTCTGCTCTGTGTGCGACACCCGTGTCTGCATCTGACCTGACTTTATTTGCTTGCTGGAGACGCGAGTGACTAGCAGTACTTCGTAGTAATATTCTAGCGTTAGCTGCCATTCGTGGATAATCTGTAGTCTGTACTAGTTCAACAGCAGCATCATCATCATCGCCATGTCTCACTACACACTGCTTAGCATCGTGTTGTTCAGCTTTCTGGTGGGGCATTCCGGTAAGTGACACCCTCACAGCATGCTAGTGAAGCTCAGATACGCAGTTTGGTTGCTTCTCAATTTTGGGGTGTTGGTTCGCAAATAAATTGAAATAATGCCAAAATATAATTCAGATCCCAGACTTTGCCTGTCTTTGGTACGGTGCATGCAAGCAATACTCGTACCAAAAATGCAAAACCCATGGGGTGCTCATTATTTTTTCTAGACACACAGTGAAGAGTGGATTTGCTGCACGATCCATGGACCTAGTCCGCTGGCTGTTGATGTACTTTGCACACATTGTCACCGTTTCATTTGTCTGTATGATATTTCAATTTGTTTAGCTATAGTTTAATACAGGGAATAATTTACTTTCAATCTTTTGCATAGCAATTTTGCTACGCAAAGTCAAACTTGAATAGCAATTCAAAAAAGTTGCGTGGCAATTTTCTTCAACACTTGACAACCGTCCTTCTGGAGAGCTGATCAGAGTGCAAGCTCAGACCACAAGTACACTGTAACACCTTAGTTGCAAACCTAGCCTGGTGCCAGGATGCATAGCTCAGCACTTTCGAAGCTCCGTGCCCTTATTTTATCCCTAAAAGGCACACCCGGCATGTACACGGTGCATCATAGGGTACAGTGAAAAATCAGTGCACCGCAGTTTTCTGCGACACATTTCTGAAGTTGCTTCGCACCTCAGAAGAATTGCGTAGCGAACTGCGATGCGATACCGGTTAAATTATTCCCTGAATTATAACAATCTTGGCACAGATAGTCCGTTTCAACTCAGTCAACTCCGTCAAACTTTTGAGTATAATGTGTTAGATTAATTCTTATGCTCGCGAAACTAAATGGCCACCAACTACTGTCATGGACATGGAAATCCAGTCGATTGACCGGGGGCCGGCGTCCTCAGCGCGTACAGAACGCTGCGTGCAGGGCACATGTTGATCCGATGCGAACATGTTAACCTGTCCCCACAGAATAACGCGGACGAAATCCTAAAATTATGCGCATAATTATGCGGGCGAAAACAGGCCATTATGCGGCAAATATGCGGGATTATGCGGCAAATATGCGGTATAATGCGGTCATTATGCACGAGTTCTCTGTTATTTGTACAACTTTAGCATACAGTTTCATGCAAGTATACTACTTTGTCGTACAAACTCATGCACCGGTACGACTTTGTAGTACATTTCCAGCATCATGTGCTATTTTCTTGTACATTGCCATGAATAACGCGTTTTTTATGCAAAATCTCTCGAAAACACGGATGACAGCCAATAGCGCGGAAAATTGCGCGTCGCGGAATCGCGGTATCCTGTGGGGACAGGTTAACAGTGCGCTGCAGCGCATAAATGCATGTGTGTACCGCTTATCCACGGCGGCATGGCCAGCGCCCTGGGGCCGCTAGACGTGCGACCGGATTTCCATGTCCACGGCAGTAGTATAGTATTGTGGTGATGCTGCTCATTACCCGAACAGGTTTATCCGTGTGTGTGTGTGTGTGTGTATTCTTCAGCCTTGCAAGCTGTTGAATGGTGCAATCCCAGCACAAGCTGCTATGGCTTCTGCCGTAGCATCGCTATCATCGCCTCCGGCGAGTGGCGTCAAATGGTGTGTGTGTGTGTGTGTCCCATATGATGCAGTGGTATGTGCAGCGATTTCCAATCGAGAGGTTGCGGGTTCGATTCCCGACGATCATGGTCACACACGTCTTTCTTCTCTTTCTCAGACTCCTCCTGACTTTTCTTTCATTCTCCTGGGTGGTGACCAACAGCCAGTGCATGCCGGAGTAAGTGGTGTGATGTGTGTGCGGGAAAAAAAAGAGACCAAAAGTAGGGATTCGCTGGCCAGAAAAAGCCACTTCATAGCTGTGTGGTATAGACCAGGCTGAATAGTGGCGGTCATTTCTTCAGCCTTGCAAGCTGTTGAATGGTGCAATCCCAGCACAAGTTGCTGTGGCTCCTGCTGTAGCATCGCAATCATCGCCTCCGGCGTACTTCATTTTGCTTACGGGAAACGCGTGGCAACATGAACCAGTTGACTTGGCCTCAGCTTGTTTGGTCCACCGTGCTATGCATTTCCCGTAAGCGTACGAATTGGGCGTCAGTTAAATACGCACCTGTTTCCATTCTAGCTTGTGTGCATACTACAGTATGAGTATAGGCAGATGTATCAGTAAGCGCTTTGCCTTGATGACTAGAAGCATGTCTACTCAAGTATCTCTGTGCATCTACTGTTCTCCACATGAGATGCTAAGCTGTGTTTGCATTATACTTGTGGGTACGTGAAGCGTGTGGGTACAGTGAGGGCTGCGTCCCACCCGCCTGTGTGGATTCACAGGAAGTGTGAGTTACGAAGTCTGAAGAAAATGTTGAACGGTCTCTGCTGGGATGACGACTACACCATAGCTCAGTGGTTAGAGCATCGCTAGCTACAAGCGAGGGTCCCTGGTTCGAGTCCTGGTGGTGACAGTCAATTTTTTCTTCAGACTTTTTCCGTTTGTGTCTTTCCCTCAAACTAGTCAAGATTATACTTTTTCTGTCTTGATGTTACGTGTAGCTGCGTACATCCAATGCGGCACGAGTTCTTGTCCACCCACCGGTTACCCAGACAAGATTGCTTGCTGTACGGTCAACTTCGAAAGCTACTGCTGTGATCCGGCGTCTATCCTAGCCGGCTGGTTAGTCTGTTTGTGTGTTTGTTTGTTTGTTCGCGTGTACTCGTCTGTTTGCGTGTGTGTGTGTGTGTGTGTGTGTGTGTGTGTGTGTGTGTGTGTGTGTGTATGGTCACACACGTCTTTCTTCTCTTTCTCAGACTCTTCCTGACTTTTCTTTCATTCTCCTGGGTGGTTACCAACAGCCAGTGCATGGCGGAGTATGTGGTGTGATGTGTGTGCGGGAAAAAAATGAAATGAAAAGACCAAAAATAGGGATTCACTGGCCAGAAAAAGTCACTTCAAAATAGCTGTATGGTGTAGACCAGGCTGAATAGTGACGGTCAATTCTTCAGCCTTGCAAGCTGTTGAATGGTGCAATCCCAGCACAAGTTGCTATGGCTTCTGCCGTAGCATTGCTATCATCGCCTCCGGCGATGGGCGTCAAAGGTCAAGGTGTGTGTGTGTGTGTGTGTGTGTGTGTGCATCTGTGTCTGTTTTCTGTGTGTTGACTGCACGCCGGTCTGTCTGTTCATGTTTGTGTGTGTTTACTGTTTTTCCTTCTTCTTTCTTGTCTGTGTTTGCCCGTCAACCTCTCTGTCTCTCCGTGTCTATACCGGAGTCTGCTCTGGCCTATTTTCAAACTAACCTTATGGCTGCATGAAATCGATTTTAACTGAGATTCCTCTACAGACACCCCTTGACTGGTTTTGGAAAGCTGTAGATCTTTATTTAATTCCTCTCCTGTTTCTGTATCCGTGCCGCTGTAGCTGCCTGTTGTATGGGCTTTGCATGCATGGACATGCGTGCACTTTGACTGCTCCTCTTCTTTGTGATATCTTTATGTGTGTGTGTGTGTGTGTGTGTGTGTGTGTATGTGTGTGTGTGTGTGTGTGTGTATGTGTGTGTGTGTGTGTGTGTGTGTGTGTGTGTGTGTGCGCGCGCGCGCGTAATTCAGAATATTTGCTGGCACTCAAGAGCAGTGACCAACAGGACTGTTGCCACTATTCTCTTTTGTTTTCTGTGAAATCCCTGTCCAACGCCGCGCTGCTGGTTCTCCGTGCACATTTTTTTGCTGTCGTAGGGCCATCGGAGTCATCGTGACCGGCTGCATCATGACAGTGGGTGCCATCTTCCTGTGCTGCTTGTGCTGCGCGTGCTGCCCGCTCTTCCACTATCGCCGGAACACCAGCCAAACGACGGTCGTGACCGCCACCAGCTACCAAGCAGTGCCCCAGGGCGCACCAGCGTACCAAAGCGCACCGGCATACCAGGCCGCGCCGTACCAAGCAGCGCCGTACCAAGCTGCGCCGTACCCGGCTGCCGCAGATACCAAAGCGAGTAAGTGGAAATGATGGGATCAAGTAAGACCTTGGCTTTTTTCTGCCTACTGTAAACCCGGAAACCTTCACAACCCGGAATCCTTCGCGGTTTTCGCAATGGGCGTGAAATCGCACAAGTAAGCCGGCGCGAAATGTAGAACTGTAGTAAAGAAACTGAGAAAATAGACTCCAATTGCAAACATCTCCAGGTGCAACTTTTTCTGTGCTCGCGAAGTAAAGCCGGCGCAAAAGTTTCCCGACTTGCAGTACAGTATCTGCATGTAGTTCTAATCTGTGGACCGTGCATGGACATGGACATGCAAGCACATGGACATGCAAGCATATGGACATGCAAGCACATGGACATGCAAGCAGCATCCTTAGCAAAACAAAACACTAGCACTGGTATATTCCGCTGTACACGGAGCGACACCAGACCAGCCCTTACGTTTCGGCGAATGGCATTGAACACAGTTGTCATGGACAAAACCATGACCGCGCAGATCAGGATCGGTTTATCCTTTTCCTTTTTGTTCTCTTTTCACGATCTGTTTTGATCCCTTTACTTTTTTGATATCTTTTTGATAAGAACTCCACCACAGGTGCTTTCCTGACAGAATTTCAAGTTGACGTCATATTTCATGATGGAGTGCGCGTTGTACACGTATTATCAGACATACCCTGGACCTGTGGTTGGACAAATCCCCATTTGATCCCGTACAAACTAGTGCAAGGAAACACGTGTGATGCGTTGACACCCAGTACAAATGTCGAACATCTCTCATGCAAGGAGCATCGCATCCTAAAAATGAGAAAAAGAATCGTTCGGCCTCCTTTCAGTGTGCAATGTCCAGCGTACATCAGGCTAAATGGATTAGGGTCTGCAGTTCAATGCTTGCTGTGAGGCCAGAGTGGACTGCTACTTGCTAGCGGACTACAGTCCATTTAAAAAATAAAAAATAAAAATAGACGCGTGGTATTTTTGAAATATCTCAAATTTGGCTGGAATGTTTCGAGAATTTTTCGGGATGTTGCTCAGGTCCTTCCCCCAATTACTCTCATATAGATTTCTAAGCGATCGGTTAGCAAACACCCAATTTCGGAATTTTTATGCACAAAGTGATCACAGATTTGATGTGGTATAGATGCTGGCCTAAACGGTTTTTTGAAATCACGTGTCTATATTTTTGAAATGCACTGTAAGTCCACACGTGCGGGTAGCTAGGTGTGTTGCTGTATATCTGTCTGATAACAAACCTGCTGCTGTTGTGAGCGCACTCTGCACCGAGAGTATGTCGACCATGACCCCCTCCCCCTAATGGTCGACCAGCTACGCCCCTGAAAACCCGCTTCAAGAAGTAAGACAATGAAAATTGAAACTCTAAATGATACAACGCATTTGTCCAAATGCGCTATAAACCATGAGCGAAATCCATGCCTCGAACAAGTCTGAGCTAGGCAAGTAAGCATGTTAGTAGAGTATGTTATTCCCGTAGCTATGCAGAAGACGTTACTTCAGTAACGTCTGGCGCTAGCCAGGGTCCACACAGCTTTAATTCCCGTAGCTATGCAGAAGACGTTACTTCAGTAACGTCTGGCGCTAGCCAGGGTCCACACAGCTTTAATTTGGTGTTTGTTTGTTTGTTTGTTTGTGTCACGGCTGGAGCTATCCCGTATCTGTCCCGTATCTGTCCCGTATCTGTGACTACAAAGGCTCTACAGGATTGTACATAACAGCTGTCCACAATATTTGCGGGCTCCTGTATCTGTCCCGTACCGTACCAATATTCGTCGTATTATGTATACGACTCCCTGATGTAGAGGGAGATTTGGAAAGAAATAGGGAGACGAAGAGGAAATTAAATTAGAATAGACGCCGATTAGGTGATAGGATGCGTCAGCATAAACATACTTTGGAAGAGAGATCCCGTCGTCTCCAAAATAAGCGTGAACGAGCGATTCAGTGCCGGTCACAGGAAACGTCGGAAGAGAGATCCCGTCGACTCCAGAACGCCCGTGATCAGTAGAGTCCGGCGGTACCAGGCAACGTCAGGACAGACATCCCTTTGAGTCCAGAACGCCCGTGATCGGCAGAGTCTAAGCCGATCCCAGGAAACGTCAGGACAGACATCTCGTCGAGTCCAGAACGTCCGTGATCGGCAGAGTCAGCGCCGGTCCCAGTAAACGTCAGGACAGACATCCCGTCGACGCGCAGAAAAACTAAATCTGCAGCCTCTTTTGCCGTCGAACAGGATACGTTTTTATATAGGAGACTGTAAATTTATGTAATGTCCAAATTTCGACGTGAGCAGCAGGTCACTCGCGTTGATTTTTCGACGTGCGAGCCAAATAACGCGAGCTGAACTTTCGCGTCGCAGACATCCCGTCGACGCGCAGAAAAACTAAATCTGCAGCCTCTTTTGCCGTCGGACAGGATACGTATTTTAGGAGACTGTAAAGTTATGTGATGTGCTCCACAGGCAACCATGCATTCGGCGTCGTCATTGGCTCAACAGGTTAATGCACATGTATTACTACAAAAAGGCCAGAAAATCCGATTCCTGTATTAAAATCAACTAATGTTCGCTGGCGATTTAATTTCGCTGATTTCGCCGCTTGGTACCAACCGGCCAAAGTAAATCGCAGGCCAACGTTTGTCATATAGGCAAATGATGCATGATTGAGCAATGGATGCATGTGAGAGCAAAAATACCGATCGATTTCAAATTTGACGTGAAACTGCGCGTCACGTCGGAAATAACGTGCATCTTAACCTCTCTAATAGAGAGGTTTCTATTTTCTCATCGGCCAAAATTTGTTGATTTACAATATAAGGAGATAAAAAGAAAAGAAGGAGCAAAACAAAAGTAGATGATTATTAGAGAAATAACAATCCGCAATAAATTCTGCAAATACTTTTGCCTAACTCATAAGCAAACCGATTGAAACGTTTTTGCAATACAGTGATGTGGCCAATCAACGAAAAAGACATTCCCATCAGTTCTTATAACATGTACGATGAGCTAGGCAAAAAAGCATAAAAGCATAGCGCAGGGCCCTGAGCTTCCAAGCTCTCTCGTTTGGTATTTGTTTGTTTGTGTGTTTGTTTGTTTGTTTGTGTCACGCCTGGCGCTATCCGTATCTGACGGCAAAAAAGCATAGGATGTTATAAATTTTTCAATTCTCCTTTTTTTTCAGGCATATCCTGGGATTCGAACCCGCACTATCGCCCTACATGCATTCCCCCATACACTTCGCATTCATACCCATTCTTCCAAGTTGCTTTACGTTATTATCTTGCGTTTGAAAGCCCTATTTGAATATTGCGGGCAGCTGTATGTGGCCAGCTGTGTTTGATGGTACGGTACAGTACGGGAGACGGTGTCGTATTACCCTCGATCGTACCTGTCCCGTACCTATCCCCTACCGTACCGTGCCATCAAAGACGGCTGGCCACAATGCATATTCAAATAGGGCTTTCAAATGCAAGATCACAATGTGAAACAACTTGGAAGAATTAGTATGTATGCGAAGTGTATCGGGGGATGCATGCAGGGCGCGCGATAGTGCGGGTTCGAATCCCAGGTTATGTCTTAAAAAAAAGGAATTTTTTAAAGAATTTATAACATCCCTATGCTTTTTTTTTGTCTAGGTCATCAAGGCAAAAAGCATAGCGTAGGGCCCTGAGCTTCCAAGCTCTCTCGTTATTATGGTACTGCTGTAAGTACATGTATTTTCCCCGGCAATAGTGGATGGCGACTGGCTTATCTTGCAGCACCTAGTTTCCGGCTTTTGTTGCGAAGCCTAGGCATCAATCTTGAAGTGGTCTTGCTTTTTTTCCCGCAGAAAAGCACAAGCATATTACTGCGTTCACGGTGAATATCATTGTGTTGATGGTCTGGGTCTTGACAGGTACTGATACGGTCTGTGCATCTCTGTTTCATTTCGTTCTGCCCTTTTCACTGCAGACCCACCGGCATACAGCTAAGCACCAGTTGATCGTGCGTGTGTGTGTGTGGGGGTGGAGAGGTAAAAAAATGCTGATTTTCTGAGGCCAGGAAAGTAGTCTGAGATGCGTGAGGGCTGTATTGATGATCTCATGCCTTGCCGCTATCTCAAGATTTGTCCTGGAGTGTTCTCTGTTCAACACCAATCTGTTTGATGATTGGATATTCTGCTTTGTGCTAGCTCGATGCGTTTTTACGAAGGGAGAGAGATAGAGAATCTTGCTACCCAGTTCCCATGTACGCATTTTTATACTGTTGTGCGTATTTGTCTTTATTTAAATAAAAAAAGAAGTCTAGGCTCTTTTATTTTAGCTGGAACCTATAGTTCACCAGCAGCCTGCTCAACACAACCCGCTTCTCATCCGTTTACGTGCTGCTTTGAGATCACACTCACTGGCGCCCTCACAGGTTGATTGCCACCGAGAAAAATCAATCATTGTAAATTTCACAACAAAAGTTCTTAACCGTGCACAAAGCAGTTGTGTGTGCAGTCGAGGAGCATAACATCACGAATCGGACGGCGTGATTCCGAAAGCAACGTTTATCTGTAGTTGCTCACTCTGTCGAGTCTGGGGAGTTTTGTACTCTTGCTAGTACTTTAATTTTAATTCCCGTAGCTATGCAGAAGACGTTACTTCAGTAACGTCTGGCGCTAGCCAGGGTCCACACAGCTTTAATTTGGTGTTTGTTTGTGTCACGCCTGGCGCTATCCCGTATCTGTCTCGTACTGTACCGTACCATCAAAGACAGCTGGCCACAACATTCAAATAGGGCTTTCAAACGAAAGATCATAACGTGAAGCAACTTGGAAGAATGAGTATGAATGCGAAGTGTATCGGGGAATGCATGTAGGGCGATAGTGCGGGTTCGAATCCCAGGTGATGCCTTGAAAAAAATAGGAGAATTGATAAATTATAACATCCTCCTGCTTTTTTTGCCTAGGTCATCAAGGCGGTAGACGGTGTCATATTACCCTCGACCGTACCTGTCCCGTACCGTACTGTACCATCAAAGACGGCTGGCCACAATATTCAAATAGGGCTTTGAAGTGCAAGATCATAACGTGAAGCAACTTGGAAGAATTAGTGTGTATGCGAAGTGTGTCGGGGGATGCTTGCAGGGCGATAGTGCGGGTTCGAATCCCAGGTTATGTCTGAAAAAAAACATCCCTACCGTAAAGTCGCGGATAAAAGCCGGGCTTATAAGCATTATAAGCCGCTTTCTGCATCAGGCTTTTAATGCGAACCAGGCTTGTATGCAAACCATGCTTATATGCACCACTGATTTTTTTGCCAGGCTTGTATGCACATTGGCACGCGTAGATCTACCACTGACTACCGGTATGGCGGCAGTTTTACTATGCACCGTAGATAGCGCATGCACTCTTGACCTACCCCTACCCGATCCGCGTTTGCATAGAAGCCAGGCTTCTACGCGCGACAGGCTTGCATGCATTTGACCCGTTTGATTTTCCGGCTTCTATCCGCGATGTGCTTGTATGCAAACCCGGCTTTTATCCGCGACTTAACGGTATGCTTTTTTTGTCTAGGTCATCAAGCCGGGCGGCAAGAAAGCATAGCGTAGGGCCCTGAGCTTCCAAGCTCTCTCGGTTTTTTTTTATTTCACCGTCCAATGGCAGAAGCCACTATTTATTTTATTTCACCGTCCAATGGCAGAAGCCAATGAAAAGGAGGGGGCGTTAGCCAGCCATGGCAAGAGAAGAAAAAAAGGAAAGTACATGATAATCGGAAGAAAAGAACGCATCAGCAGAGTGAAATTTATCACCATGTTGACCATTGTGAATAGTGGAACTTGATCCGGTATTTGTACGGGCTGGATTCAACTTCAGAACCAGGGAGTCGTAAAATACCGGTATTTTACGACTCCCTGTTCAGAACCACAATCTGGGTTTTGGATTTGCTCCTCAAACCAGGGGTGTCGGACACACTGTGGCCTCTACGGTATTGAACGTACTCGAAGTGCTACTCTTTGCTTCCTCGGGCACCCCGAGCAAATTTTTAGCAGACCCCCACCCTTCAGAGTACATTACATTGCATTCTTTAGATGGCTGACCGTACCACTCCTGCGCTCCTGCCAAATGTTGTCATAATTTGTGATGAGAAGCCCTGCACTGAGCATCTGGTATATGCAAAGTAGTTCTATACGCACTTCCACGGGCAGGAAACAGAGACAAGTAATAACTGCATGAATAGCCGCTGTAATAATGTCAAGTAGAATGGCGTTTACAGTTACGACCGACTTTCTCTTGCGAGAGCACAGAAGCCCGGCGCTGTTGTGACCCTTTTTGGCTTTTATTGCGTTGTAGTTTAAAACGTGTGTGTCTCTTCATTCTCTGCACGGTGTCGTGAATGGCGTAAGCGAGAGTGGCAATCCCACCACACGTGCAGGAGTGCACTTGATATAACAATAATACTGATAAAATACCGTATTTTCTCTATAAATAAGAGCCCGGGGTTCTTATTATTTCAGTGATAGCTCTATCCGCGCTACTACATATATTAGAGACTGGGCTATTATTGGAGACTTCTTTTATTTTTTCAATGCTCCGCTATCAAGCCAACTTCAGTCTAAAGCTGTGTTCACTACTGGCGCATGTACGCGTAAAACCACGCGTTTGTGCGTATTCTTGCTGGCTTTTGGGGCACCATGCGTACGGGAAACGCGCCAAAATGGAAATTTCAACATGTTGTAATTTTCAGCGCGTACCAGCGTACATGCCAGTCACTTTCACTGGCAGGGTAAACAAGATTAGTACCCGAAGGCGCCGCATGCCCTAAATACGAGCCGAATTTGCTGTTTTTTGTGAAAGCCTCTACGCACGTTTGGGCACGCATGAACCGCAAGCGTACCGCGTCCACATGCCAGTTGGGAACAAAGCTTCAATAGTTATAAACTGACCATACCAAGACAAAAAAAACTAACACAAACCTCCCAGTTACAAATATGTGTTTGGCATGCTGTACTGCTGTTTTACATGAAGTCGATATACTTGTTGCATACTCCAATTGTTTGCCTGCGCTACTATTCGAGACTGTGCTCTTATTACCGTATTTTCTCTATTAAGAGCCCAGGATTCTTATTTTTTCAGTGACAGCTCTACCCGCGCTACTATTGGAGACTGGGCTCTTATTTTTTCAATTGTCAACTATCAAGCCAACTCCAGTCTATACAGGCATAAACTGACCATATCACTGAGCCTGATTTTTCAACCCTAAACTCAGGAATATTGTCAAAACAGATGTTTCACAATAGCATTGGCGCCAGGAAGGAAGCAGTAGACCGAAAACTTCCTTACAAATATGTTCTTGGCATGTTGTACTGCTGTTTTATATGCAGTCAATATACTTGTTGCATACTCCAATTGTGACCCGCGCTACTACCGGGTATTAGAGACTGTGCTCTTATTATTTCAAACCACCCTCGCCCCGGGTCATTATTGGAGACTGGGCTATTATTGGAGACCTGGGCTGTTATTAGAGAAAAGATGGTATTTCAAACAACCCTCACCCTGGGTCATTATTGGAAACTGGGCTTTTATTAGAGAAAATACGGTAAGTGAACTGCCTGAAAAGAGAAGAATGCCAGACCCACCAGGACTCTTTTTTCTCTTTTCAGGCAGTTCACTTCCTCCACTGATCCTTTGAATTTGAAGTTCTCCCAATCCTTTAAAAATAAGAAAATAACATTAAGTGTGTGGCAAGGGAGGCACGGACACAACACATGCAGTCACATCCGGTTAGTGCTCATGTAGTTGCAAACACAGACCATATCTGAGTCTGGCGTTGGCCACACAAGCTGCGAATCTCATCGTGGCCAGGCTCAGCGTGGAAGTAAGCACACGAGGCATAGCTTCTGAAGGGACACACAAAGGGCTAGAGTCAAAGCTATGATGCAAATTACAAGTCAATGAACGGTTTGAGCGGTTTCTTAAGTCAGTGCCGCGAACAGCTCGGAGAATGGCGAAATTAGTTTAAAAATAGGTATAATGTTGTCATGGCGATCCTCATTACATGGATAATGGAAGTGGTGAAAGAACCTATGCAATGCCACACTACGTGTACAGGTACACACGTACTCAATCCGCGGATAGAACTGTTTCGTCCTTTGTGGACTCATCCGCTCACCACAGAAAATGAGGCAAAAACTTGATGGCTGATAGCAATGCAAAAGGAATTGTTCAAAGGTAGATTTAAACCAGGCCTGAACGTACCTTGCCCTAGTGCTCAAGTGCATGCACGCATGTACATGTACTTCGAAATGCAGATGTATCTGAGTTTTACTATGTACACAATCATGGCTTTCCCTCCATATTGGCCTATATTCTCTGGCCACGGGAAGGTGAAATAAATAAATAAATAAATAAATTTAAAAATAATAATGATAATCTGTAAGCATTGGTACAATCTAGACGGACGTGGCTACAGTATGCTGTCAAGGCTGCACCGGGGATCACTGACCAACTTCCTGAGCCTGGATACCAGTCTGTGGTTATCACCTTGGCGGCCGAGAACCCACACTGCACGCAACGCAGGATGGTCCCGAACCACGCGCTCAAACCTATCCAAAAGCGCCGCGTCGAATGTGAAGCAAATCCCATTCAAATCCAACAACAGCAGCTCTGGGCACGACTCCACAACTTCAATCACACATGACACAGGCACGGCGTCATCCCCGCAGAGATAGGAGAGACGTGCAACAGTCAACTTCTTGCAGGAACACAGGGCTCGACAAGTTGACACAAAGCCACCACTGCCAACCTCATTCCAGCGCACATCAACGTCTTGCAGACTGCCTGACAAAGATAGGAGAATGGATGGCAGCCCGTCACCATCACTCCACGCATTCAGGCTGAGATCAAGCTTGCGTACATTCTTGCAATGCTGGAGACCATCAGCTATGGGTTTCAAGTCAGCTTTACAGGTGCGGCAATCAGACATGTTTATAACTTCAGGATCAATGCAGGAATGTGCGTGAAGACAAAATCCGACAGGCGCACTGAGCAGAAGAGAAAGGCGTACCTTTGATAAATTCACACCACCAGAGAACACTTGCGTGAAGAACGAGCAATGGCCATCGCAAGACGCACCTTGATACAGACAATGCTCATAGTGAGCTGCTAGAAGTTGAGCAAGGTATCTGCGTTCCTCCTCGGATTGCGATGGTCGGATTACAGGTGTGTTAATGGTAGTGACCTTGGCCGCGCAGTCCTCGACAGGTGTTGGAGCCGACATCTTGGCACTACGACGCATCATTCTCTCACATCGTGATGCCGCAACAGGATTAACGTGCCGCACTGCCTCAAGGAATGCACCGTTGTTTGGTTCCGCAGTCTCCTTCTTCCACACTTTGACAAGAGTGACGAGGAACAGTTCATCCGTCAGCTCTCTTCCACGCGGCAGTGCACTCTCAACACGCTGGTAACCATTGCCCTCCCCGTATATGCTCTCCATCAGC